CAGAGATATTGATCCAAAGTCAATTATTAGAGGCGAATAAACAGGAAATAATTGAAATCCGTTCTTGTTTTTTAGCGGAAGGCTTAGAAGGCCATTTTGGGTTTATCTTATAGTACCCACGTCTTTTCATGCCATGGTAAGAACAGCAATATTTAAATTACGCTTCAGTTACTGTAGAAAAACAACGCCCTTTGGAGGCTTCCCAAATTAAAGGTTCTACCTTCAAATGAAGAGAACTATTGATCTTACAGTTACTGAACTCGAGTCAATGACGAATTGCTAGCACCGAATAAACAGGAAATATCTAAACTAATTCTTCAACTTGTTTTGTCGCGGAAAGATTAGAGGGCTATTCTAGGCCGATCTTGTAGTACCTGCATATTTTCATTCTTCGATTAATAAGATCATAGTTAGCATTAATCCTGGTGAACGCTGAATTTGCATATTGTAAGTAAAGTTGTCTCCCAGATATCGAAAACGATCCTCAAGATAGAGATATTCACATATCATTTGTTGGTATAGTTTCAGTTACTCTAGAGAAATCAGACTTTTGGGTGTTCTTGCTGACCAAAAATGCCTATATTTAAAGGTTTTACGGCCGAATGACCAGAAATATTGATCCAAAGTCACTTTTTAGAGGCGAATAAACAGGAAATAATTGAAATCCATTCTTGTTTATTAGTGAAAGGCTTAGAATGCCATTTTGGGCTTATCTTATAGTACCCACGCCTTTTCATTTTACGGTAAGATTAGTAACACAACTCTATTGTAAAATGTAACACACATCTGCATTATTCCTTATGAGCAGTGAATTTACATATTGCAAGTAAAATTTTCTCCTAGAAATCGGTATTGAGTTCTCGCCAGTAGTGAATTTAAAGCCGCTACGTTCTCAACATGTTCCCAGTGACATGATTCCTGATTTATGTCATCCGTTAGGAACACTACTGGCATTGTCTGTTAGGGTTAGGGGCATTGCTGTAACCTGGTATACATTTTTACAGATTTAAAACCTCTGGCATGCTTGTTCGAAATTCCCTAATCTTGCGAAATCCAGTTGAGACTAATCCCTGTGAGCCTCCATTGCAAGATAGACCCAGTCCAACACCTTGAAAACTGGTAAAAATGGCCTATTAACGCAAGGAGCGGCCAAAGCAGAACGAAACAACTTGGGTGAACTTTTACTTACGCCCATGTCTATTAATCTATTTCCGTCTTCAAGACCAATCATCAAACACGCTAGATCCGTGACTGTGCTCTTAATTTATTCCTTGCACGCTGACGTCACCTCAATGTTTCACCACGCAATTCGTGAGTAACTTATAGCAAACACTGTGGTAAGCCCTCGCCTTGAAAAGGGGTCAATACGAAAGAGGGGGCTTACTGGATATCACAACAACTAGC